GTCATATGAATGTGGTTACTACGTCATGTTTTGGATGATGACCATTATTCGTGCACATTACACCAGTGGATGGGAAACGGTATTATTTAGGTTTCAATTTTATTTTCCCTATAGTTTAGATTTCAAATACACTAAGTTAAATCATTGTATTTTATGCAGAGATTCAATAGGACTGCTCCAATTCCAGAAAAGTCACTTCAACTTGTGAGGAAAGCACTGGCTAAATATATAATTCATTTATATAATAGTATATAATAGATATTAGGATATAGTAAGTTATTAGGATATAGTAAGTTCTAATTTTATGTTTCTAAGTTGTCTCATGCTTATCTACATTACTATTAGTTTAACTTTGTACATTACATTGATTTATGCTTCAAACTTGATTTATGATTATAATTGGATTGATTTATGCTTATAAGAAGTTGATTTATGATTCAATTGAATGTATTTATGTTTTATTATAATTTTCATTAAAAATATACGTTTCTGGATTATTCTCGATTGTTCTGGCTATAAATATATATGCAGGTCTGTTTCTGTTGTTGGGAATGTTGCAGAAACAGACCTGATTTTTAAAAAAAAAACAAGCTGATAAGCCTCGGTTAGTGTAAAAACCGAGGTAGAAAAGCAACTTATGCCTCGGTTATGACCACACCAGAGGCAGAAAGTACTGCATAAAAAAAAATACCTCTACTGCCTCGGTTCAAGCTATAACCGGGGCAGTAGGGTGGAACATACGACCTCTGTTCCAATAACCCGAGGCCTATAGTCCTTCCAAAAACAAAAAAAAATCAAAAACCTTACTGCTTCGGTTATGGTAGAACCGATGTCAAAAGTAGTTCACTTTTTGCCTCGGGTCTGAACCGGTGCCTATAACAAAAAACAACCGCTGTCGTTTCACCTGACTGTACTAGTGAGAAGAAAACGATATTGAATCATGAATGATTGGGTTGTGATGTTAATGATGTGATGAAATATGTTTATGATTATTTTATTATTTGTTTCAAATAATTATTGTATATTGTGTGTTATGATATTTCTGGTTGCTCACCCTTCATGTATGGTTTTCACCTATGATCAGTATAACTAAATAAACCCTACGCAATATCCAAGGTTTTGCTAGGGCTTGGAGGGATCATGTTACTATAAGGTTAGACCCGACCGGTCGGGTATGATTGCATGCTAAGTAGAATGGACCGAACGACCGGGCATAGAAAAAGACTTCGTTATCACGACAACAATTAAGCAGAGTTAAAGTGCAATCAATACAATAACTGATATTGATGACTAATCAAGACTCACATTAATAACCATTAAGAGATAAATTAATTGGTCAGATTTTTGTAAACTTTATAAATAAAGGTTTAATTTCGAGGTAAATGACATTTTTTTCCATAATCAAACTACTTTAGACCTTTAGAAAAAAATTATGACTTGAGTGTCAGTTCTGGTTATCCCTCCTCAAATGTATATTATAGATTGACCGGTCAAATATTCAGACAACACGTTGATCGATTATGGTCAAACATCCTTATCGCACCAGCCTTCATTAAATTTCACCCATCATGTCTAATGCCAATATGTCGATCGGTTTGGTAAGGCGCCAATAAAATCAAAATCGAAGGACCGAGTGTTTGATCTAAAACAAATTAGTAATAAGGATTAAGTCATTGATGAAATTTAAAAATATTTAGAATGTAATTAAACCAACCTTAAATAAACAATTACCAAAACTATAAATACGAATAGGTAAGGTGGTTGATTACGCATTTATTACAATATTTATTATCTAGTATTTGGATTTGAATTAACTTTAGCATCAAAACAATTTTTATAGTATTGCACATGAATATGAGTGTGAAGACGTGGAGTATTTGAGTGTGAAGACGTGGAGTATTGCACAACAAACTTCTATAAGTGACCGACTGACCCTACTTACATAAACAACTACTATACCGACAATATCTTTCGGTGTCATATAAGTTATCACTTCTATATTTTTCCGCAAACAATGTAAAACAATAGTGTTAGAAACGGTAACAGAACACAATTTCCAAAACCAAACTATTGAAATAAAACTGATATTTATGTTGTATAGCTTGCCTCAAACAGAAGGGGGCATGTACCATACTGATGACGGATAAACATTAGAACAAAGTTTATGCACGCAAGAAAGTTTAGGAAAAACTTGGTAAGAAATGAAGCTGTTGGTTACCAAATACATTCATGTGAATTTTCTAACAAAATGTGTTGACTTAGCGAGTTTATACCTGCCAACAAACTCAGCTCTTGCAATTAAGTTCGCTCCTGAGGCTTGAATTCATGCAAATCAGGTACATAAGAGTATTTCATTTGAGGGCATTCCTTTATAGTCACTTGATCCAAGCATGGGAACTTTAACTTGAAAGTTCCTGAGTAAATTACTACGATGTTTGGTAAAGATTGAAGAGACAAAAAGCTGAGCTGGTCAAATGTTATATCTTCATCTTCTGATTCATGATCTTCCTCTTTGGACACTATTTCCTGTATTGCTTGACAATCCCGTATGGAAAAGTGCTTCAGTTGACCTAGTCTTTTGGCTGTTGAGGATGTGAACAGATATAACAATCCATGGCATTCATCAACACTCAAAGAGGTAAGACTTGAAAAAGACAAGGTGGATGGCCCCAAAATTTTCATGTTAGGGCATGAAAACACTTCCAATGTTTCTAGTGTTTTAAGTAAGGGTTCTACCCATGAGTGCTCTAATCCGATGGTATTAAGCTGTGGGAGATTCTTCAGATGTAATCTTTTCAGCTTTAGAAGTACTTTGCTACAATCATTGGTAGGTCCTTGAGAGCAGAATATTTCAGTGAAGGAACTGCAAACCACTTCAAGATTTTCAATGTTGGGTATCTCTTCAAGTAATCCACTAGAGAATATATTTGACTTATCATCTTCATGATAGCACATTAATTTGAGAAGTTTTAAATTTTGCAGGAGTTGTGCAACATTTGCACCAAATTGTCCTTGTCCAATCCTAGTGTCCTTCCGAGTGATTGCTTGGTGTTCAATGCTTGGTATAACCTAAGAAATTTCGGAACACAAAAAGGTATATGAATACCAAAAGGTGTCATTCAGGGAGAGTAATGAAACCAGTAAAATTTTAGAAATTGTCCTTGCCTGGAGCTGTCCTTGCAAAATTGCCATGGCGTCTTCCTTTTTGAGTGATAATTGCACCAACTTTGGAAAAACCTAGCAATTGTTCAAAACATTTGATAAATTTCGCACTAATTTATTCATATCGGGACATGCAAGCACAACATGAAAACTGCAGAGTTAATATATTTTGGTACCTTTTTAACTGAGAAAGCAGGTTGCTGATGTATTGAAATACCGAGTTGATCCTTTGTATCTGAAAATTCATCACTATGATTCTCGGTTTTAAACAATTTCAACTGATCACAATGATATATATCTAGATGTGTTAGCATTGGCCATTCCTGAGTGTGTTTTCCAGGGTACAAGTACTTGAGCTCTGGCAATTCCCATAGTGTTATTGAGGTCAGACAATGGAAATTGAACTGTTTAGTTTCTCCTTCAGAGGCTGTTTCAGTCTCTACAAAAATTTTCACCAATGTTGCACAAGCTCTCACATGAAGCTTAACAAGATGATTGGCCACTGATGTTGGAAACAAACTTTTAAGGGTTTGACAGTTAGAAATTGACACTTGTTGCAAGTCTTGAAGGCTCAGAATTTCATCAGGATTCAGATTCCAGATGTGCTCCAGATTTGGCAACTGATTTAGAATGAGTTTCTTCAAAGGAAGAGAAATCGGTTTCATATATGCTCCTTCACCTCTCACATCAAATATTGCCTTCACAGATTGACAGTTGCTTACCTCGATCTCTTTGAGGTTAGAAAGAAAGCGTAGTAAATAGAAAGGAATGACATTGGAGAGAGATTCACATTGAACCACAGCTATAGATTGCAAATTGTTGAAACAATCGTTTCTTGGAATTGGAACTACACCAAGCCAAATCTCTTCCAGGTTAGGGTGATCACCAAATTTCAAATGCTCTAAATCGCAAGCGGATTTTTCCACCTGTACATGCAAAAGAATCATTAATTTGGAGACCTTAGCAATTTTCTTATTAAAAGAAAATTTTCACTTATTTATTATAGATAATGATAAAAAGAATGCATAAGCATAAGGTAGTAATAATTTTGCACTGTACGGATAAGAATTGAATTGAGAGAATGAATTCTTACCTCTTCGTGAAACAATTTCTTGATAGTTGTATTGAGATCTTCATGGAAGATTAAATCAGAATCCTTAGATGTTTGAATTCCTGAAAACTTTGGCACTTTCATGACTCCTTCAGAAAAAGTTTTCATACTGGGACATTTAACTACCATGACGACTTTTAAATATGAGCATTGCAGAGTGGCCTTCCCTGAATAAAACCTTACAAGTCTTGGCAATGATTTCAGCTTGATTGATTTGAGTCGTCCAAATACCATCTCAGCACAACCATCTTCGTTTTCATGTTTAATAATTTCTTTCATTGATTCACAACTATTTATGATTAGGGTCTCAAGTTTCACCAAACTTTTGACTGTTGCAAATGTGAATAAATATTCCATCCTTTCACAGAGTTTCACGCACAGTACTTCAAGATTGATGAAAGACACTGCACAATAAACTAATTTTTGTAACTGAGGGCACCTCTTAAGGCTTAATGCTTGAAGCTTTTCAGAGTACGGTTGTACCCAAGGGTGTTCTAAGCCCACCGACTCTAACTCTTTTAGATCTACCAAGAATAATTGTTTCAATCCCGCAAGTCCTCCATCGTGAACTTGAAGTTTTTGAGAGGGAAATATCTCCTTCAAACCAAAGCACTTTTTAATTGCAAGATAGAATACATTGGGTAGTGTGTTAAAGAAGTCAAAAGGCAAACTATCTTTCTCAATGTTATCATCCTCAAAACACAACCCAAGAATAACTATATTGCAAAGAATGTCTTGTAGCAACTGTACTTCTCTAAATAACATTATGTTTTCTTCATTGAGTGCCAAAGCCTTTATTTTGGGAGAAACCTAACAATTGAAGACAAACAAATTCAGAAGAAAACGTGTGAGTGTTTTTAGTTAGAAGCATTAAAAGGAAAATGGAAAGAAAAGGAACTCAGAAAAGTGTAAATGTTGATGCTTCGCTACCTTTTCAACTGAAAACATAGGTTGTTGCAGTGGGCTAATTTGAGCCTCTATAGCTCCTTTCTGATTTTCATCAAAGTCTGATGTGAATAGCTTCAATTTAGGACAAAAGCACACAAATAAGGTTTCCAATAACGGACAATCCAGATCATGCTTTCCAGGATAAAAGCAACTCAAGAGTGGCATGTTTTTGAGATATAGCCACGTCAAACAAGGGAATTCAAACATTATTTTGGTTCCATTTTCCGTTCCATCTTCCTTTTCAACTATTTCTACCAGTTTTCCACACTCTTTTATGCTAAGTTTCTCAAGCTTCCCGAGATTTCTTGCTAGGGACGAAGAGAACAATGTTATCAAACTTCCACAACCATTAACAACCACTTCTTGCAAATTATGAAAGCTGATCATTCCTGTGGAATTTTCCTTCCATACACGTTTCAAATTTGACAAATTGCGTAAAGTAAGTTTTTTCAAACCAAAAACTACTCCCTTCGTCTTGACCTCACTCTCGTCAATGTCGAATATTATTTGCATTGCATCGGATTTTTTCACATTCAATTCTTCTAAGTTCTTCAAGTAAGGAAGTACATGAGATGGAATTAAAACAGTTCTATTGCATGCTGCATCAAATTCCAATTTCTTGAAACTACCAAAAAAATTGTCTGAAACAATAGGTTTTCTGTGGTGAACTCCAGACATCCCAAGATAATCTTCAAGAATCATACGCTTTGAATATTCCATAAATTCCTTCCAAGTCAAGAAACTCAACGTCAGAGTAATGGACGAGTTTCATAATTAAGGCTTAAATTTTCTTTTGATTGTCGAAAACTATATATATGCATCATTAATTGAGATATATGACATTATTATTTTTCTGATTAAATTATGAGCTGAATTTTTATGTAATGTTTACCATTTTGTCATTGTGAATATAAACCAGCTTATATGACACTTAATTAAGAGAGCATCAATCAAGAGTTACTTAAATCACTTTCAAATCATTTTTACATATTCTTGAAATATTAGTATTTTCGATCAATAATCAACCTTCATATGTGTTTGACATGCCTGCTTTTCAAAACATATGAAAGAGTAAGATATAAAATAATTGTAATAGAAACTTGGTATAAAATAATAAATCAACTATTGCTGCCAAAATATGCTATAGTTTTGCTATAAAAGGCCAATTAAATTCGGGTAATGAATTCTTACCTGTTCGTGAAGCGACGTCTCGATTGTTGTGTTGAGATTGTCGTGGAATACTACAACAGAATCTTTCGATGTTTTAATCCCCGAAAGTATTGGCATATTTATTACTCCTTCAGAGAAAGTTATCATATTGGGACATTTAGCTACCATAAAACTCTGCAAACACAAGAATTTCAAAGTGGCATTTCCTGAATAAAAGCTTAATAGCTTTGGTAAGGAATTCAGCTTAATTGATCTGAGCTGTCCAAACACTATCTCATCACAAGCATCTTCATCCTCCTTTTTTACAATTTCTTTTATTGATTCACAATTCTTTATGCTTAGAGTTTTAAGTTTCACCAAACTTTTGAGTGTTGCAAATGTGAATAAATATTCCATCTTTTCACATAGCTTCACATATAACTTTGTAAGATTGATGAATGACACTGAACAAGAAACTATGTTTTCTACTTGAGGGCAAGTGTGAAGCTTTAGTAGTTCAAGCTTTCTAGAGTATGGTTGTACCCACTCGTGCTCCAAACCTATGGACTCTAACTCACTTACTTTTATCAAACATAATTGTTTCAATCCAGCAAGTACTTTGTCATGAACCTGAAGCTTTTGAGAGGGAAATATCACCTTCAGACCAAAACATTTTTCCAAATGAAGATATTCTAAACAAGGTAGCTTGTGAAAGAAATCAAAAGGCAGAGTATCATTCTCAATTTCATAATCCTCAAAAAGAAACCAAAGATGACTTAGCTTGCAAAGAAGATCATGCGGCAAACATCCATCTCTCAACAACATGATGTTTTTCTCATTAAGTGCTAATTTTTTCAGTTTTGGAGAAACCTAGCAATTGAAGTCAAACAAAATCAAAAGAAAATGTGTAGTTGTTGTTAGTTAGAAACTATAGAAGAAAAATATATATTGAAAAGAAATGAAGCACAANTGGCGTCTTCCTTTTTGAGTGATAATTGCACCAACTTTGGAAAAACCTAGCAATTGTTCAAAACATTTGATAAATTTCGCACTAATTTATTCATATCGGGACATGCAAGCACAACATGAAAACTGCAGAGTTAATATATTTTGGTACCTTTTTAACTGAGAAAGCAGGTTGCTGATGTATTGAAATACCGAGTTGATCCTTTGTATCTGAAAATTCATCACTATGATTCTCGGTTTTAAACAATTTCAACTGATCACAATGATATATATCTAGATGTGTTAGCATTGGCCATTCCTGAGTGTGTTTTCCAGGGTACAAGTATTTGAGCTCTGGCAATTCCCATAGTGTTATTGAGGTCAGACAATGGAAATTGAACTGTTTAGTTTCTCCTTCAGAGGCTGTTTCAGTCTCTACAAAAATTTTCACCAATGTTGCACAAGCTCTCACATGAAGCTTAACAAGATGATTGGCCACTGATGTTGGAAACAAACTTTTAAGGGTTTGACAGTTAGAAATTGACACTTGTTGCAAGTCTTGAAGGCTCAGAATTTCATCAGGATTCAGATTCCAGATGTGCTCCAGATTTGGCAACTGATTTAGAATGAGTTTCTTCAAAGGAAGAGAAATCGGTTTCATATATGCTCCTTCACCTCTCACATCAAATATTGCCTTCACAGATTGACAGTTGCTTACCTCGATCTCTTTGAGGTTAGAAAGAAAGCGTAGTAAATAGAAAGGAATGACATTGGAGAGAGATTCACATTGAACCACAGCTATAGATTGCAAATTGTTGAAACAATCGTTTCTTGGAATTGGAACTACACCAAGCCAAATCTCTTCCAGGTTAGGGTGATCACCAAATTTCAAATGCTCTAAATCGCAAGCGGATTTTTCCACCTGTACATGCAAAATAATCATTAATTTGGAGACCTTAGCAATTTTCTTATTAAAAGAAAATTTTCACTTATTTATTATAGATAATGATAAAAAGAATGCATAAGCATAAGGTAGTAATAATTTTGCACTGTACGGATAAGAATTGAATTGAGAGAATGAATTCTTACCTCTTCGTGAAACAATTTCTTGATAGTTGTATTGAGATCTTCATGGAAGATTAAATCAGAATCCTTAGATGTTTGAATTCCTGAAAACTTTGGCACTTTCATGACTCCTTCAGAAAAAGTTTTCATACTGGGACATTTAACTACCATGACGATTTTTAAATACGAGCATTGCAGAGTGGCCTTCCCTGAATAAAACCTTACAAGTCTTGGCAATGATTTNACAACAAACTTCTATAAGTGACCGACTGACCCTACTTACATAAACAACTACTATACCGACAATATCTTTCGGTGTCATATAAGTTATCACTTCTATATTTTTCCGCAAACAATGTAAAACAATAGTGTTAGAAACGGTAACAGAACACAATTTCCAAAACCAAACTATTGAAATAAAACTGATATTTATGTTGTATAGCTTGCCTCAAACAGAAGGGGGCATGTACCATACTGATGACGGATAAACATTAGAACAAAGTTTATGCACGCAAGAAAGTTTAGGAAAAACTTGGTAAGAAATGAAGCTGTTGGTTACCAAATACATTCATGTGAATTTTCTAACAAAATGTGTTGACTTAGCGAGTTTATACCTGCCAACAAACTCAGCTCTTGCAATTAAGTTCGCTCCTGAGGCTTGAATTCATGCAAATCAGGTACATAAGAGTATTTCATTTGAGGGCATTCCTTTATAGTCACTTGATCCAAGCATGGGAACTTTAACTTGAAAGTTCCTGAGTAAATTACTACGATGTTTGGTAAAGATTGAAGAGACAAAAAGCTGAGCTGGTCAAATGTTATATCTTCATCTTCTGATTCATGATCTTCCTCTTTGGACACTATTTCCTGTATTGCTTGACAATCCCGTATGGAAAAGTGCTTCAGTTGACCTAGTCTTTTGGCTGTTGAGGATGTGAACAGATATAACAATCCATGGCATTCATCAACACTCAAAGAGGTAAGACTTGAAAAAGACAAGGTGGATGGCCCCAAAATTTTCATGTTAGGGCATGAAAACACTTCCAATGTTTCTAGTGTTTTAAGTAAGGGTTCTACCCATGAGTGCTCTAATCCGATGGTATTAAGCTGTGGGAGATTCTTCAGATGTAATCTTTTCAGCTTTAGAAGTACTTTGCTACAATCATTGGTAGGTCCTTGAGAGCAGAATATTTCAGTGAAGGAACTGCAAACCACTTCAAGATTTTCAATGTTGGGTATCTCTTCAAGTAATCCACTAGAGAATATATTTGACTTATCATCTTCATGATAGCACATTAATTTGAGAAGTTTTAAATTTTGCAGGAGTTGTGCAACATTTGCACCAAATTGTCCTTGTCCAATCCTAGTGTCCTTCCGAGTGATTGCTTGGTGTTCAATGCTTGGTATAACCTAAGAAATTTCGGAACACAAAAAGGTATATGAATACCAAAAGGTGTCATTCAGGGAGAGTAATGAAACCAGTAAAATTTTAGAAATTGTCCTTGCCTGGAGCTGTCCTTGCAAAATTGCCATGGCGTCTTCCTTTTTGAGTGATAATTGCACCAACTTTGGAAAAACCTAGCAATTGTTCAAAACATTTGATAAATTTCGCACTAATTTATTCATATCGGGACATGCAAGCACAACATGAAAACTGCAGAGTTAATATATTTTGGTACCTTTTTAACTGAGAAAGCAGGTTGCTGATGTATTGAAATACCGAGTTGATCCTTTGTATCTGAAAATTCATCACTATGATTCTCGGTTTTAAACAATTTCAACTGATCACAATGATATATATCTAGATGTGTTAGCATTGGCCATTCCTGAGTGTGTTTTCCAGGGTACAAGTACTTGAGCTCTGGCAATTCCCATAGTGTTATTGAGGTCAGACAATGGAAATTGAACTGTTTAGTTTCTCCTTCAGAGGCTGTTTCAGTCTCTACAAAAATTTTCACCAATGTTGCACAAGCTCTCACATGAAGCTTAACAAGATGATTGGCCACTGATGTTGGAAACAAACTTTTAAGGGTTTGACAGTTAGAAATTGACACTTGTTGCAAGTCTTGAAGGCTCAGAATTTCATCAGGATTCAGATTCCAGATGTGCTCCAGATTTGGCAACTGATTTAGAATGAGTTTCTTCAAAGGAAGAGAAATCGGTTTCATATATGCTCCTTCACCTCTCACATCAAATATTGCCTTCACAGATTGACAGTTGCTTACCTCGATCTCTTTGAGGTTAGAAAGAAAGCGTAGTAAATAGAAAGGAATGACATTGGAGAGAGATTCACATTGAACCACAGCTATAGATTGCAAATTGTTGAAACAATCGTTTCTTGGAATTGGAACTACACCAAGCCAAATCTCTTCCAGGTTAGGGTGATCACCAAATTTCAAATGCTCTAAATCGCAAGCGGATTTTTCCACCTGTACATGCAAAAGAATCATTAATTTGGAGACCTTAGCAATTTTCTTATTAAAAGAAAATTTTCACTTATTTATTATAGATAATGATAAAAAGAATGCATAAGCATAAGGTAGTAATAATTTTGCACTGTACGGATAAGAATTGAATTGAGAGAATGAATTCTTACCTCTTCGTGAAACAATTTCTTGATAGTTGTATTGAGATCTTCATGGAAGATTAAATCAGAATCCTTAGATGTTTGAATTCCTGAAAACTTTGGCACTTTCATGACTCCTTCAGAAAAAGTTTTCATACTGGGACATTTAACTACCATGACGACTTTTAAATATGAGCATTGCAGAGTGGCCTTCCCTGAATAAAACCTTACAAGTCTTGGCAATGATTTCAGCTTGATTGATTTGAGTCGTCCAAATACCATCTCAGCACAACCATCTTCGTTTTCATGTTTAATAATTTCTTTCATTGATTCACAACTATTTATGATTAGGGTCTCAAGTTTCACCAAACTTTTGACTGTTGCAAATGTGAATAAATATTCCATCCTTTCACAGAGTTTCACGCACAGTACTTCAAGATTGATGAAAGACACTGCACAATAAACTAATTTTTGTAACTGAGGGCACCTCTTAAGGCTTAATGCTTGAAGCTTTTCAGAGTACGGTTGTACCCAAGGGTGTTCTAAGCCCACCGACTCTAACTCTTTTAGATCTACCAAGAATAATTGTTTCAATCCCGCAAGTCCTCCATCGTGAACTTGAAGTTTTTGAGAGGGAAATATCTCCTTCAAACCAAAGCACTTTTTAATTGCAAGATAGAATACATTGGGTAGTGTGTTAAAGAAGTCAAAAGGCAAACTATCTTTCTCAATGTTATCATCCTCAAAACACAACCCAAGAATAACTATATTGCAAAGAATGTCTTGTAGCAACTGTACTTCTCTAAATAACATTATGTTTTCTTCATTGAGTGCCAAAGCCTTTATTTTGGGAGAAACCTAACAATTGAAGACAAACAAATTCAGAAGAAAACGTGTGAGTGTTTTTAGTTAGAAGCATTAAAAGGAAAATGGAAAGAAAAGGAACTCAGAAAAGTGTAAATGTTGATGCTTCGTTACCCTTTCAACTGAAAACATAGGTTGTTGCAGTGGGCTAATTTGAGCCTCTATAGCTCCTTTCTGATTTTCATCAAAGTCTGATGTGAATAGCTTCAATTTAGGACAAAAGCACACAAATAAGGTTTCCAATAACGGACAATCCAGATCATGCTTTCCAGGATAAAAGCAACTCAAGAGTGGCATGTTTTTGAGATATAGCCACGTCAAACAAGGGAATTCAAACATTATTTTGGTTCCATTTTCCGTTCCATCTTCCTTTTCAACTATTTCTACCAGTTTTCCACACTCTTTTATGCTAAGTTTCTCAAGCTTCCCGAGATTTCTTGCTAGGGACGAAGAGAACAATGTTATCAAACTTCCACAACCATTAACAACCACTTCTTGCAAATTATGAAAGCTGATCATTCCTGTGGAATTTTCCTTCCATACACGTTTCAAATTTGACAAATTGCGTAAAGTAAGTTTTTTCAAACCAAAAACTACTCCCTTCGTCTTGACCTCACTCTCGTCAATGTCGAATATTATTTGCATTGCATCGGATTTTTTCACATTCAATTCTTCTAAGTTCTTCAAGTAAGGAAGTACATGAGATGGAATTAAAACAGTTCTATTGCATGCTGCATCAAATTCCAATTTCTTGAAACTACCAAAAAAATTGTCTGAAACAATAGGTTTTCTGTGGTGAACTCCAGACATCCCAAGATAATCTTCAAGAATCATACGCTTTGAATATTCCATAAATTCCTTCCAAGTCAAGAAACTCAACGTCAGAGTAATGGACGAGTTTCATAATTAAGGCTTAAATTTTCTTTTGATTGTCGAAAACTATATATATGCATCATTAATTGAGATATATGACATTATTATTTTTCTGATTAAATTATGAGCTGAATTTTTATGTAATGTTTACCATTTTGTCATTGTGAATATAAACCAGCTTATATGACACTTAATTAAGAGAGCATCAATCAAGAGTTACTTAAATCACTTTCAAATCATTTTTACATATTCTTGAAATATTAGTATTTTCGATCAATAATCAACCTTCATATGTGTTTGACATGCCTGCTTTTCAAAACATATGAAAGAGTAAGATATAAAATAATTGTAATAGAAACTTGGTATAAAATAATAAATCAACTATTGCTGCCAAAATATGCTATAGTTTTGCTATAAAAGGCCAATTAAATTCGGGTAATGAATTCTTACCTGTTCGTGAAGCGACGTCTCGATTGTTGTGTTGAGATTGTCGTGGAATACTACAACAGAATCTTTCGATGTTTTAATCCCCGAAAGTATTGGCATATTTATTACTCCTTCAGAGAAAGTTATCATATTGGGACATTTAGCTACCATAAAACTCTGCAAACACAAGAATTTCAAAGTGGCATTTCCTGAATAAAAGCTTAATAGCTTTGGTAAGGAATTCAGCTTAATTGATCTGAGCTGTCCAAACACTATCTCATCACAAGCATCTTCATCCTCCTTTTTTACAATTTCTTTTATTGATTCACAATTCTTTATGCTTAGAGTTTTAAGTTTCACCAAACTTTTGAGTGTTGCAAATGTGAATAAATATTCCATCTTTTCACATAGCTTCACATATAACTTTGTAAGATTGATGAATGACACTGAACAAGAAACTATGTTTTCTACTTGAGGGCAAGTGTGAAGCTTTAGTAGTTCAAGCTTTCTAGAGTATGGTTGTACCCACTCGTGCTCCAAACCTATGGACTCTAACTCACTTACTTTTATCAAACATAATTGTTTCAATCCAGCAAGTACTTTGTCATGAACCTGAAGCTTTTGAGAGGGAAATATCACCTTCAGACCAAAACATTTTTCCAAATGAAGATATTCTAAACAAGGTAGCTTGTGAAAGAAATCAAAAGGCAGAGTATCATTCTCAATTTCATAATCCTCAAAAAGAAACCAAAGATGACTTAGCTTGCAAAGAAGATCATGCGGCAAACATCCATCTCTCAACAACATGATGTTTTTCTCATTAAGTGCTAATTTTTTCAGTTTTGGAGAAACCTAGCAATTGAAGTCAAACAAAATCAAAAGAAAATGTGTAGTTGTTGTTAGTTAGAAACTATAGAAGAAAAATATATATTGAAAAGAAATGAAGCACAAAAGTGTTAAAATGTTGATGCTTTGTTACCTTTTCTACCAAGAACAAAGGTTGTTGTAGCGGGCTAATTGGAGCCTCTATAACTTCTTCTTTATGACTGTCACCAGTATCTGATGTGAATAGCTTTAACTTAGGACAATACGCCACAAATAATGAATCTAATATGGGGCATTCCAGATAATGTTTTCCAGGATAAAAGCAACTTAACAGTGGCATATCCAAAAGAAATAACACGGTCAAGCAAGGAAATTCAAACGTTAATGTCATTCCATGCTCCCTTTCATCTTCCTCTCCAACTATTTCTTCCAATTTTTCACACCTCTCCATTCGAAGTGTCTTAAGTTTTTCAACACTTTTGGCAAGGGATGAAGACAAAAGTGTTACCAAGCTTCTACAATCAGTGACAATCACTTCTTCCAAATTGGGAAAGCTAACAATTCCTCCGAGATTTTCCTTCCATACACATTTCAAATTTGACAAGTTTTTTAAAGTAAGTTCTTTCAAACTAGAGACTATTCCCTTTGTCTTGTCCTCACTCTCATCAAAGTCAAATATTACCTTGACTGCATCAGAACTATGCACATTCAACTTTTCTAAGTTCTTCAAGTAAGGGAGTAAATGAAATGGAATTACGACAGCTCTTTTGCATGCTGCATGAAATTCCATTTCCTTGAAACTACCAAAGAAATTGTCTGCAATATCAGGTTTTATGTGCTGAACTCCCGTTATCTCAAGATATTCATCAAGAATCATGTGCTTTGAATGGTTGAAAAATTCCTAAAATAGCAAGAAATTCAATATCAGGGTATAATTAACAAGTTTCATACGCTTCGTATTTAATTAATAAGATCACTCAGATTTATCTTTGATTGCAGAAAACTGTATACTTGGATTTGAATGAATTATTTAAGTCATATTTGGTAATAAGCCTACAACCAAATCATTTGTTACTACCATTATCATTACTATTACTATTATTTATTTGTATAATGAGTTCCAATTATCTAAGATATTGTACAATCCGTCCTATTAATATATTGTACAATCGGTGTCCAACAACTTTGAACATGGGACGTTCCTAAAGGAAATGTAATGGTTACAATCCCATGTTAGGATAAAACTTAAATTAAGAGGTTACTCAACAACTTTTATGAACAATTATATTTAACTGTTTTAGAAGAGCAAAAGTCCGCAAGTTAGTGTGTATGTTTTAGCTATTAATGATCATTATAGTGTTGTTTTATGTAAGACAATATGGTTTGGAGATGAAAAGCCAAATGTTTGTCGTATAAGTTGTGATGTGCAGTTGAAATGAAATACACAAACAAAGTAAATTAGTTTATAAACAAAAAAATATTTTTTTCTAACAAATTGGTATCAAGAGTTAATTAACCTAAGTGTTTGAGTGCTTGAGAAAAAGTCAGAGAGCTAGAAGTTTAAGTGAGATGGTCAACCTTGCAAACAGTGTGTCCATGTCCCAATTAACAAAGAAAATCAACTATATGACAACTAGAGTTTGTAGATGATGGCTCTCCTTGGTTCCCAATAAGTGTAGAATGTAGTTGAAAATGGGTACCAAGAGCCAAAAGACAATGAAGAACATATGGTTGCCCAAGTTTCTATGTTGAGAAAAACACGAGTAAAGGATAAAACAACCATGTACGTGTTGTACCAAGTTGTGGATGAGTCCCACTTTAAGAAGATACAAATGCTACATCTTCAAAAGAAGCATGAGAAATATTGGAGAAAACATATAAAGGGGATGACCCAGTAAAGCAAGTCTGACTTCAAACTCTCAAGGACGAGTTTGAGAGCTTGAGGATGAAGAAGACAGAGGGCATAACCAAGTAGATAACTCGGGTTGAGACTATGGCAAGTCAGCTCGGTCGAAACGGAGAGTCGATGCTCGCTAACCGAGTTGTAGAAAAGATCTTGAAGTCGTTGACAAACTATTTTGAGAATAGTTTATGTCATTGAAGAATCCAAGGATTTTTCAATGCTCTCGATTGAAAAGCTTTCCAGCTCCCTAGAGGCATATGAATAGTAGAGAAGGAGGAAGAGGAACCACTCGAAAAGCAAAGGTGGCCTTTAAGGAGAAGAAGCCACCTTATACTTATAACACTCAAGGTCATGATGGTTGAGGCCGAAGAGATAATGAAAATGGAAAAGAGAAATCCAGTCTATAAAATTGGTGTGGTCGAGGACAAGGTAGTGGCTTTAAATGTGGGAAATATGGTCATTTTGACAAGGATTGCAAATGTTATAATTATGGAAAGGTTCGTAATTTCATGAAGTATTGCTAGTCTGAGCGAATGAGGAGCTTACGCGTTAAGCTAAGTTTAAGCTATTATAATAATTCAATTTGGTATCTCAATACAGGAGCGAATAATTACATGTGTGGGGATGAGAGCCTATTCAAAGAGCTTTCCGAAGTTGAGGTTGGGCACGTCTCGTTTGGAGATGATTCAAGGTGGTAGTAAAAGGCTGTGGTACAATCTAGTACCTATAGAAGAAAGGACGAGTAAGAGAAATCAAAGACAGGTACCATGTACTTGATCTCAAGAGCAATATATTGAGCATAATAGAGATGTTCAACTCAGTTTTGATGAAAGACCGAGTACTATATTTGTAAGATAAATTTGGCTGCTTGATTCCTTGAGTATAAATGAAGTACAGGTTGTACAAGTTGGAAATATAGTCCAAAAGAGGTGCTTGAAGCTCGACGTGAAGGATGAGGCCATAATGTGGCATTTTATAATTACTTTTAGTCTATTCTATTGGTTGGAATTTTCTGGTATGGAAACTTGAGTTATGGATCCTTGGGTGTGTGAGAACATGCTCATATTTAGGGAAATTTGTTGATTTTATGTACAGTTGAATGAAAGGGGATTTTAAAATGAGCAATTAGATAAATCGGTACTAGTTCACAATGTTTTGAACCATCTAAAAGTTTTTAAAAGTGAAGATTGCTAATTGGTGTAATTGAAAAACTTAAAATTCTGAAAAATTGAGGTTTCTACTGATATTATACTAAGCGGTAACAGGGTAGCGTTGAGCGTCAACTCCAAAAATTCCAAATCAGAGAGTTATTGTGTGACAGAGTGTTCAGCGGTAGTCTTTCACCGTTGAACCATATTGTTCTGGGGAGCTTCAGCGCTAAGCGCCAGCTTATGCCGCTAAGATTTACTTGGATAGTAAGCCCTTGTCACACTAACATTGGGCGTGCCTTAGGTGTTGTTGAGCACCATTCTTGTTGTTGGTTCTATTACTCTATTTCTTACATTTCTTTTACTGGTTTTGATGGTTCAAAGTTTTGATATTATGGTTATTTATGGAATTGTTTATGGATTTATTGATGCATATGTTTGTGTATAATGATGTATGAAATTTTTATGATGATGGACAATGAATACGAAAATATATGAAAATATTTGTTGGTTGTAATTGATCATGAACATTATATCACTTAGTATGGATGAATACAAATATGGGTGATTGTTTAATATTAAGAACTTGAATGTGGAATCGTTTTTATGGAGGAAAGTATGTGTTTGGCGTAATTCAAAATAATCTTGAAAGAAGATTCTATAGTTGTGTTCCTTTAGTTTAAGCATTAATGTAAGGATTCAAGTAAGAAAATATCCTGACACTTTAATAAACATTCACACTCATGTAGAGTAGAAAGAGTTGTGTGTGAGAGTAATAAGAGATCCTAGTCTGAGGGCAGGATAATGGCCTCAAACGTGAAGGAGATTTCGCTTGCAAGTGGTAGGGTGAAACTCATTGAAAATGATTTTGTAGGACAATAAAGGCCACCACAAGTGCATGTCTCTAGTGAATCCAATGTCAATGCATGTATCCGGATGATGAAGTTTAGAGAATATGCAATTCTATGTTTTATTATTCTATGAATATTTGAAATATGTTATTTTATGATTAAATAAATTTAAATGTTAAATGCTCATTCCTTTTATAAACTAACTTATCTTCTTTTGTGTTTGTACTTCTTGTGACTGTTGTTTTTTTTTTTGTAATTATCACCTTTATCAATGTGAGAAGATGTGAAAATAGGTGTGTGATTACCTTAGAAGGAAGATATTGATGCAATTTTATATATATATATACTGTCTCTT